AACACCTATCTCGTGGGCGTAAAAAGTCTGCTGACCTTGAACTTTACCGCGGCGTACAAAGTCTGCCCGTGCGAACGCACGCTTACTGTCACTGTTGTTTGCTGTGTTTTTTTGTGTCAAATTGTCAATTGCAAATGTCAAAATGACATGACACTTATCGTCTCTTTCCCACATTAGGGTTTTTATCCAAAATATTTACCCCCTAAGTTTATATCACCAGTCAACTAATAGGTAATTGTACGATTTTTTTCGTGGTCCGCGCGCCGATTATATGTCTATTATCTATTTGAATATTATTGTTTAAATAAATGAATTATTAAAATGAAATTTTAAATATAATCAATTTATAAGCAGCGAGCTCAAAGGAATACTTACTCTAAGCCTCTTTGACGAAGCCTCCTTTGAACGGCGGGTTTTATTCTCGGCAAGCCGGAGCTGTGCAAGCCGCGGCCCGTTATAAAATACAAGGTCATATAACTTATATTACTCGTCGCCTGAATCTCGCGGAGTCTGTTTAAATTAGCGTCTATGAAGAGGTCGAGGCCCACCATAGCTTCTTTAACTCGTAAAAAGTGCAAATCCAATGTCGCCGTGTAATCAGTTTTGGCTGTTCCCACCTGAAATATTACACAAAATACGTATTCGGTATCTGCTGATTAAAAAGTTTGACTATGAGGAAGTTAATTTTTTATGTTAATTTACATAAATCATGGATATAGGAAATACAGTACTATTTTATCAGAGTATAGATATCAAATGTATTTTTATCTTATCTAAAATATTGTCATTTATAATAATCGAAACAACGCAATATTTAACGTTACTTTGAATAGACATATTCTTAATTTTTAGTACATATGTTATGATTTTGTAGTATGTACTACGTTAAGACCTTTTTTGATTGAATTTCAGAATTTTTCTTGTACTTATATAGTCATTATTTTTAAAAAAACGCATCGTAACACAAATATAATGAAAGTATACAAGTTTCAACGTTTTGTAAATGCGTACATATGCGATGACTATAAAGAATTTCATGTTATCTTGAATTATAAGAAATATTTAACATATTACAATATAATAGCGGACAGACAGACAGACAATGGTTTTTAAATGCAATTTTTGTTTCCTGCAACGCAATTATACCATCTTCGCGAAATTTGAATTCTTTTTTCGATATTACATAGACACATTCTAATTTTGTTATTATAGATAGAAAGGTAGATAGGTACATAAAGGTATTTCTTTTATAAATCTTTGATTAAGTATTATTAATTACAATTTTACCTGTATGAGAGCTGATACTGCCAAAGAGTTAAAATGGTCGTAATTCTGTGTATGCATCGCGGCGACCTCTGAATAGTACATAGCAATTCGCAATCTACCATTAGACATGGAATCACGGGCTTTCTGATGCATTCTGAAATAGATGAAAATTCTAATTTAAACGAGATACAGATAAATCACTTAAATAGGTAGAGTATCACCGGGGAATAACCGCCAAGCGTATAACGTAAGTACTTTCATGTAAAAAAATGACCCGAAATTTCGTCGCGCGATTTTGAGCTAAACTATTTAACTACGTCGTAGTCTTTGACTCCAAAAATCAAACAAAAAAATG